CTCAGTGTTCAGTGAGAACCTCTCAAAAGCTAAGGTGGGTGATGTGTGATGGTGCACACCTTTGATCCCAGTCCTCAGGAGACAGAGGCAGGCAGATCTCTGTGAGGTCCAGGATGGCCAGGGCTATGTGGAGAGACCCTGTCTCTCTCTGAAACAAAACAAAACAACCCCCCACCCCCACAAATAAAGTGGAAGCTCAGCATGGTGGTGCCCACCTTCAATCCCCGTACTCTAGAAGCAGAGGTAGGCAGACCTCTGTGAGTTCGAAGTCAGCTTTGTCTACATAGCAAATTCTAGGCCAGTCACGCAGGTACAGGTATGAGACTCTGTCTTAAGAAACAGAACAAAAAGGTAAAAAGAAAAAAAAGTTAAGGCAGAGAGTAAGAGAACTATGGAAAGACCACTGGCCTCTACACATGTGCACGCACACACATGCGCACGCACATGCGCACACACAGTGACTCCTCCCCTCCATCACCACTTTAGTCCTTATTATCCTCATACTTATGTTTTTACTCGGTCTTACTTACGAACTGTCCCCTACACCCAAACAAAATGTTTCACGTAGCCTCTCCCAATGGCTCTCATCCTATGACGGTTCCATCTGTTCCCAATACATCTGCAAAACCACAGTTTACATGAGGCGGAAAAACTCTGGCTGCAAGGAACTTCATCCCTGTCCCCCCAGGGCCAGACACAGTTTTTTACGTTAGTCCTTTATTTTCTCCTGTTCCCTTTCTTTGATGCCCTGATGCTTTTGCTAGCTCATTTTGGTGCAGCACTCTTGGCAGTGAGAATAGCCGCTGTGACCCTGAGTCAACACTAAAGCCATGCTGGGCGATGGTGGCGCACGCCTTTAATCCCAACACTTGGGAGGCAGAGCTAGGCGGATCTCTGTGAGTTCGAGGCCAGCCTGGTCTACAGAGTGAGATCCAGGAAAGGTGCAAAGCTACACAGAGAAACCCTGTCCGAAAAAACAAAACAAAACAAAACAAAAAAACAACAAAACAAAAACAAAAACACTAAAGCCACTGCTCACCAATTAGTTCTGTCTCTCCGGCCTCTGCTCCCTCCAACCCTCCCTCCACCTTGCTGGGTAATCTCTCAGCCTTACTCTGTAACCAGATCATTTGCTTACAGATTTGTAACGGTTATTTTTCAAAAGTCTCTCCAGGAATGCAGGATGGCAATCACATGACCCATGGCAGCTGAAGAAAATTCTCCTCCTGCAAAATTACCAGAGGACCTCCCTCTTCAACAGACCTGGAACTACCCCTGTCGGAAGAAAACCCTCCTCACCCACCTTAAGTGTCTTTTGTCTGTAATGAGGTTAAAAGAGGCATCAAGAGAAAGCTCCCTGAAATAGAAAATTCTCAGGTTCCATTCTCAGAGAACTTCAGGAGGTCTCTGGAGGTAGCTTTGCTAGCATATGCCACTTTTAGCTGGTATTGTTTTTCTCCCGTGGGATGCAAGGCTTTAATGAACAGTATTTAACCTCAACAATTCCACAGTACCACAACCCTGGGGACTCTGTGAGCATTTCCTGTCTCCAGGCTCTTGGCCAAGGCTTACTCAGGCGGCTCCCTCTCTGGAACAGACAAATTCTGCTACAGCCAACACTCATCTGAGCTTTAGTCCTTTGACCCCACTATTTTAAGTTCCATTAAAATTAAAATGTTGTTTGCAGTATTATTGCTCTTTGTGTACTGTGATGGAAACATCTACACAATTTGGATAGACATGCAACAATCTAAATAAGACTTTGCTATTGATCTTTTTGAGAGTAAATTAGATTAGTGTGCAATTGCTGTGCTATAAATTCTAGACTGGACACTATTTTAAAGGCAGATTTTTTTCATTTATATTTATTTGTTTTTTTTCCATCTTTTATATGTACAAGTACACATGTTGTGAACCACATTGTGTGAGTGTGTGTGTGTGTGTGTGTGTGTGTGTGTGTGTGTGTGTGTGACTTCTCTCCTTCTGCTGTACATGTCTGGATGATGGAATTCAGTTGTCAGAACGATCTTAGTGCCTTCACCTTAAGTGCTAGGACTACTGGTATAGACCTCCATGTCGTGGAACAGTCTTTTTGTACACTGTGAAGACATGTTGCTCTCATTGGTTTAATACAGAACTAAATGGCCAATAGCTAGGCAGGAAGAGGTTAGGCGGGACTTTCGGACAGGGAGAGTGCTGGGATGAAGAAGGGCTGGGTTGCCAGGAGACAGGGGGAGAAGCAAGAACATGCCGTACTGAGAAAAGGTGAGCCACGTGGTAGAACTTAGATAAGAAATATGGGTGAATTTAAGTTGTAAGAGATAGTGAGTAATGAGCCTAAGTTATTGGCCGAGCATTTATTATTAATAATAAGTCCCTGTGTGATTATTCGGGAGCTGGCTGGTGAGACAGAAAATTCTGCCTATACCTCCACACATGATTATTGGAGGTACTTCTGATACCTCTGACTTGATAGAATACAAACTTAAATCCAAGTAGGCAACTGTAGCTATATTTTATTATATTTATTTATTTGTATTTTTGCTGCTATGACCCTTTCAGGGCAGCCTGCTCCAATCTTTCTAGAGTATACTCTTCACACGGGTTTGCTTCACTTTGGTAAGTAAAAATCTGCTTAATCTGCCTGTATCTTCCAGCTAAATTCTTTCCTTCAAAAAGACAAGAAACAAAACTTTCGGGCTGGAGAGATGGCTCAGAGGTTAAGAGCACTGGCTGCTCTTCCAGAGGTCCTGAGTTCAATTCCCAGCACCCACATGGTGGCTCACAACCATCTGTAACGAGATCTGGTGCCCTCTTCTGGCCTGCAGTTATACATGCTGTATACATAATAAATAAATCTTTAAAAAAAAAAAAAAAAAAAAAAAAAAAAAAAAACTTTCAACTGGTAATGTATTTGAGGACCTTGATAAGTCTTGATGTGCTCAGACACTGAACGCTATCTCCAGACCACTCTTGCTTTTCCTTTTTAATTTTTTTTTTTTTTTTGGTTTCAAGTGTTTTCTTTTTCTCTTTTTTCTTTTTTGTTTGAGACAGGATCTCACGTAATCTTAGCTGACTTCAGACTATCTCTAGCCAAGAATGACCTTAAATGCCTGCATCTTCCTCCCAAGTGCTGGGATTACAGTAGGCCCGGCTGGCCTCAAACTCACAGAGATCCCCCTGCCTCAGTCTCCCAAGTGCTGGGATTAAAGGTGTGCACCACCACCACCCAGTACACTACACTCATCTTATTTTGCTGTTTGTAATAAAACTTGTCATGCCAATACACACACATACATAGCTTCCTTCATATGTTCTAGTGGGACTCAACATCTGTTAGACTTTCCAGTTGTTTACAGTATTTTATTATTTGAAAGGTGGTATATAGTCCTTCTGTACATATTATGTAAACATGCAAGCATCCGTAGGATAAATACACAGAACTACAATTATTGAGTCAGAGAATAGGTGCATTTTTACACACCTGATCCTAACATGTTCTCAACATGCTTTCCCCACGCATTCTGGCCAGCATTATGACATCTACTTCATCACATAATTTGACCTTAACCAGTCTATAGATGAAATACAATGTTTCTATGGTTTGGAGCATTTTGTTTGCTTTGGTTTAGCTATAGTATGTTTGTTGTTGTTTGTTTGTTTGTTTGTTTGTAGACAAGGTTTCCCTTTGTGGTAGCCCAGGCTGTCCTAAAATTCAGGATCCTTCTGTCTCATCCTCCTAAATTCTGGGATTATAGACATGCACTAGCACACCCAATGCAGAATCAAAGATCTTTCCATCACTTCCAGCTGACCAGATGGCTCAGCTGGTAATGCTCGCTGCAAAAACCAGGAACCTGCACTTGTTCCTCAGGACCCACATGGTGGAAAGCATGCACCAACTCCTACAGGTTGTCTCTGACCTCCACACATGGGAGGCCTTGACATGTGTGTGTCACATGCACACTGCACACATGCACACACTGAATAAATTAGTAAATGTAACAAACATTTAAATATTATTATTTATATATATATATTTTATTTTTATTTTATTTTTTTGGTTTTTCGAGACAGGGTTTCTCTGTGTAGCTTTGCGCCTTTCCTGGAACTCACTCTGTAGACCAGGCCGGCCTCGAACTCACAGAGATCCGCCTGCCTCTGCCTCCCGAGTGCTGGAATTAAAGGCACGCGCCACCACCGCCTGGCTTAAATATTATTTCTTAAAGAAGAATTTTAGTTAAAAACATCCAAAGGCAATTCATTACTTCAGACAGAAAGTTTTTAACTTCTTTTAAAAAAATATTTATTTTTATGTGTGTGTGAATATATGCCATGTGTGCCCATGTTTTTGAAGGCCAAAAGAAGACATTGGGTCACCTGGAACTGGAGTTACAAGCACTTGGTTATGAGGTATGGGAGGTTTGACCTCCACGAGGCAATTGTGACTTAGACTCATGTCTTCTGGAAGAGCAGCCAAACCCTCTCTGAACTCTGGAGCCATCTCTTCAGTCCCAAGTTTTTTAATTTTTTTATGGAATTGAAATCAAACCCAGAACCTTGCACATTCTATGCTTTTATTTTAAAACCCAGGGCATCTTCCAAAAGAGAAAAAAGAATCTCTGACATCTCTTGAAAAATCTGAAATCTAGCGACTTGTGGCCTTCAGACAAGGGAATAGTGAGTGTCTGCACAGACCAGTGTGTATCCCACAACAGACAAACATAATTCCTTACTGATCCTTGAGAGTGATGCTGACGACCAGTTGCTATTTATCACCTTCCAGCACAGTCGCATACACTGATGTATATGACCTTTCTGCTGGAGAGAAGGAGTCAAAGTATGAAGCAAGTGCACAAGTAAAACTGAAAGTTTTATTGACTACCCATATGTCCCAGTTTGGGTCATTGTTTCTTTTTCCTTCCTCCCTCCCTCCCTCCCTCCTTCCCTCGCTCCCTCCTCCTCCTTTCCTTTTACTTTCTTACTGCTGAGAATTTATGTGCAAAGCCCCATGCATACTAATCTGCTGCTGACTCTGAACTGCAGACCCCATCCCCTTTGTGACATTAATGAATAATACAAAACTTTTAAAACTAAAAGAGAAATTACTAAATATCTAAAATATTTACTAAATATCAAATATCTAAAATATTTGCAATATCAAATTTAAACTAGTTTGAGTTATAAAATGAGTTGACTTTTTAAAGTCTACTAATAACCCCGCCACACCCCCCCCAAAAAAATACAAAAAAATTTAGCCGGGTGGTGGTGGTGCATGCCTTTGATCCCAGCACTCAGGGAGGCAGAGGCAGGTGAATCTCAGTGAGTTCGAGGCCAGCCTGGTCTACAGAGTGAGTTCCAGGACAGCCAGTACTACACAGGGAAACCCTGTCTCGGAAAGAAAAAAAAAATACAAAGTCCACTAATAGTAGCTGCCTCAGAGGTAAGTGTGAAGAACAGAAATCCTGATTGTCTACACTCTGTGGGGAAGAACAATTAAGCCTCTATAAAACTCTGCTCTGCACCTTGAACTCTCAAGCTCCAGTTGCATCCGGAGCTTAAACTTCAGAGTACAACTAATTTCATCTGCAGTGATAGTCTTTAAGAAGGCATTCAGTGTTACCACCAGAGACATCTGCACTGATTTGACACAAAAAATGACCGCAAATCATTCTGGAGTGTTTTCCAAAAACAAAGCTGTTCTTAAAGAGAATGATGTCATAATGAGGCCATATATCAAGGACGATTGCCCAACATGTGGCCTGTGAATATTAAGCTCATTACAGGTTTTATGTGATGATTCACCACGGTTCCAGTTGCTGGACAGTGTCTTGAGTGTACATTTGAAATTGACTTTGCAGTACATAGAACATTCTGGCACCCTTTGTTCATAAACCGTTGCAGATTTCCTCGTGTCTCACTTGGTTTATTTTCCATAGAGTTATCCCAGAGCTTCTCCAGAATTCCCCTGGGCATAGCAGAACTTCCCTCTGCACCTCATCCAGCTGTTTCTTCTGTTGCTTTCTGCTGTCCACATCTTACCTGCTGAGACCGACAGACAGCTGTGTTGCAGAAATAACCAAACAAAACAAAAAATTTAAGCATTCCAGCTGTCTCACCCAGCCTATGGTCTGTCCTATTTCTTGACTGTTTTCAAGGAGCTCCTTTCCCTATTTAAAATATCGATTTCCTCAGCCTTGTATTCAAAGTTCTTCATCCTCTGTCCTAGTCAACCTCTCAAGATTTGCTTATGATTTTTCCAAATTACTGTTCCATAAAATTGATTTTGTGAGTTCAATTCTGTCTTTACAAAATGATTTGAAGACCCAACCCCTAGTACTTCAGAACAAGTCTATATTTAGAAAAAGGTTTTCTTTTTTTTTACAGAAGCAATTAAGAATGAGGTCATTAGAGTGCGCCCTAATCCAATATGGCCTGTGTATTTTACTATACAAGGGAGAAACTTGGACACAAAGACAGCAAGAACAAAAGAAAGGTCATATGATGCTAGAAGAGGGAAGGAAGGCTTTCCCCATGGTCATGATGACTTCCATGGCTTGGAGCACATTTTGGTATTGTTATAGCCACCCAAGGAATACAGTTGCCAAGCAAAATCAAGCTTCCAATAGTATTGTTTCCTCTACCTCTATTTGTCACCCTTGTTTTTTCCTCTTAAATCCTACCCAGCTTTTTTGTTTGTTTGTGACGTGGTTTCTTGTAGCCTGTGCTGTCTTTGAACTCTTGACCCCTCTGCCTTCCCCACCAAGTGCTAGGATTACAGGCATCAACCACCAAGCCGGGAAGGAATGACTGTTTTTTAAGGGACAGCAGCAAGGGAAGTAAGATATGACACAGCTTCTAAAATGTATAGGGAGACACAGTCATGCTACAGACAGAAGCATCACAAGTTTAAGATCGTCCCCAGCTAGCCGGGCAGTGGTGGCGCACACCTTTAATCCCAGCACTCAGGAGGCAAAGGCAGGTGAGATCTCTGTGAGTTCAAGTCCAGCCTGGGCTACAGAGTGAGTTCTAGGACAGGCTCCAAAGCTACACAGAGAAACACTGTCTTGAAAAACAAAACAAAACAAAAAAACAAAATAACAAAAGCAGATATGTACACATAAACATATACACACAAAAAAAAATCAGAGAACAATGAACTAAAAAAAGGAGAAAATAAAATTGGAATCAATATAAAACCAATATTTGTCTTACTTTTTAAATTGATATTTAAATTTCTGAATAATTTCTATATTTAAATAATTGCTTAAAGCCATTTTTACTGGCTATATAATGTCCCAATCGTATGCTTACCCTATAATTTATTCAACAATTTTAGTTATTGTCATTTATTTGCAATCTTGTATGATAGGACTAACATTTTTTAAAAAATGTTTGTTTTTATATTTATTTTGTGTTCGTAAGAGCATGCATGCCATGTGCAAGTGTGGAAGCCAGAGGACAACTTGTAGGAGCTATTTCTCTCATTCCACCCTATGAGTTACGGGGATCTAACTCAGCTCTCAGGCTTGGTGCCAAACACCCTCATCCACTAAACATCTGACCAACGTTTAACTGGTAGTAATCTAACCAATGGTTGGTTACAGGGAGTAAAGCCCTTGCCCTGAAAGCCTTTAAAAATAAATGGTAGTAATTGTCAGTCTCATAACTTCAGGAAGAGTGTCTGTCATGTAACCATGAGAGCATCTGTGACTATTTTCTTGAGTACTTTCTGGAAAAGGAACGAATAGATAAAATGGATGTATTTGTCTTCTTAACACAGGGCACTGGGTTTTTTTTTTTTTTTTTTCCTAACTGGTTGTTTTGGTTTAAAGTTCCATGTGCAGCAGATAAAAAGTTCCCATCATCACAAGCTTTAAACATTTCAGAATGTTTAATTGCTGTAATAGTCAAAAGTAGTTGACTATTTGTTATAAATCGCTATACGAGTCAATCAGAAGCTCTTCATTCCTTTAAAGATCTATTTATTTAATTTCATGTGTCTGTGTGTTTGGGGCTGTGAGTGCATCCCTGGGAGTGTGTTATGAGAAACCTGGCTAGTTATATGAGTACCAGACCCCCATAACTCCTGATTACACAGCATACATTCCTAACTGCTGAGCTATCTCTTCAGCCCTGCTAGTCCATCAACTTTTTAAATATCTAAGGTGAAATGTGTTATTAGTGATTTATAGTTCATGAAAGTCTTGCTTAAGCTCTTTGGCCATTTTTCTATTACAATACCAGCATTTTTGTTGTTGTTGTTTTTTGATGGAGAAAGATGTTAGTAGGTAGACTTTTCTTTTCTCTTAGATTTGGGTTCAGGTGTTTTTTTCGGGGGGGGGGGGGGAGCATTAGGTTTAAAATTAAAGTTTCCTATGTGTTAGAGGCATAAAAATGTCATCAAAACCTGTTCCCATCACACCGTATCCTGTCTTAGGATTTCTGTTGCTGTGAAGACACATCATGGCAACTCATAAAGGAAAGCATTTAATTGGGGCTGGCTTACAGTTCAGAGATTTAGTTTGTTATCATTGTAGCAGGACTTGGCGGCACGCAGGCAGACATGGTGCTAGAGATGGAACTGAGACTTCTACAGCAGGATCAGCAAGCAGCAGAAAAAGTTCGTGCCCCACACTGAGAGTAGCTTGAGCATAGGAAACGTCAAAGCACCTCCCCTCCCAGTAACACTCTTCCTCCAACAAGGCCACACCTCCTCCAACAAGGCCACACCTCCTCCAACAAGGCCACACCTCCTCCAACAAAGCCACACCTCCTCCAACAAAGCCACACCTCCCCAACAAAGCCACACCTCCTCCAACAAAGCCACACCTCCTAACCCTTGTTTATAAGCAGCAGCAGAAGCTCCCGTTTCTCACAACCCATTACTGCCCTCACTCCACCACCTCCAGCTAACACACAAGATTGGGAAGTAGAGTGGGATTCGGAGTTCTTATTTTTGGTTAGTTATAGGACTACACAGTTTCCTATGACCCATTTCCATGTCACTCCTACTAGCCAGAGAAGCATTTTTGGTGGCATTAGGAATGGGGAAAGGAGGCTGTCCTAATTTGCTTTATAGTACTGTGATAAAACATGACCAAAAGCAACTTGGTTGAGGAAACAGTTTGTTTCATCTTACAGTTGATAGGCAATCACTGAGGGAAGCCATGGCAGAAACACTGCTTACTGGCTGGCTTGCTCTCCGTGGCTTGCTCATCGTGCTTTTTTTTATACAACATAGGACCATCTGCCCCTTTGTGGCACCACCCACATTGTGCTGGGCCCTCCCACATCAATCATTAATCAAGAAAATTCCCCCACAGACAAGCGAAAATGATGAAGGCATTTTCTCCATCAAGGTTTCCTCTTCCCAAATGACTCTAGCTTGTGTCCAGTAGATGATAATAATAATAATAATAATAATAATAATAACAACAACAACAACCAGTATAATTGGATCCCTTGTCAACTTGATATACAAAGACATCACTACAAACTATAACCTTTCTTGCTTACCTTCAAGCATAATTTTAAAAGTCCCACTGTCTTTAAAAAGTTCAGTCTCTTTAAAACATCCAATGTCTCTTTAAAAGTCCAAAGTCTTTCAACTGTGGGCTCCTATAAAATTAAAAATAAATTAATTACTTTGTTACTCAAGAACAAAGAACTGGGGTTCATTCATAATTAGATCCAAGCAAAACAAAAATTCAAAAGACTAGCTGGGTGTTTGATGTCTGGGACTCACCCACCATTTTCTGTGTTGCAGAGGGCTTGGGCATCTCCACTTCTCTGACTCCACTATCCATAGTACACAGCCCAGGCTAGCTCCAGTCCACAACTGTTGCTATCCTTGATGTGGTGGTTTGAAAGAAAATGGCCCTCCAAGGGAGTGGCACTAGTGTGAGGTGTGGCTGGTTGGAGTAGGTGTGGTCTTGTGAGAGAAAGTGTGTCACTGTGGAGGGGGGCTTTGGGGTTTCATATACGTTCATGATACTTCCCAGTGTCTGAGGCCACTTCCTGTTGCCTGCATGTCAAGAAGTAAGACACTCTGCTACTTCTCCAGCACCATGTCTGCCTGCATGCTGCCATGTCCCACCATGATGATAATGGACTAAAATAATTGTAAGGGAGCCACCCCAATTAAATGTTTTCCCTTATAAGAGTAGCTGTGATCATGGTGTCTCTCCACAGCAATAGAAACCCTTGATGACACTTGATGTCCCATGCTTCTGGCATCTACAGCATGCTGGAATCACCACTCTAGTGGAGTGGAGCCACCTCTCCTGTCCTCTTTTCAGAGATTCCAGCCCTGCCACACAGTACCAAGTCTCAACTTCTCTCCATGACTTCTTCGTGTCTTCAAACCCAGCACCATATAAGACAGACTCTTACACATTTCCAAGTTTAGCTACCAGCTTAAGATGCCGATGTCCCTTCTGAACCATTGCTTCTATGTGCTGACCATGAGGAATACTTCCCAGAGGATTTTACCTCAGTGATGCTGGTGTCCTCTAATCACAGACGATTCTGCCTCTAGGATTACAGATGTGCACCTCCACATCTGCTTCCTTATTATTTTTGCATATGTTGATTGGTATCTTCCTATAAGGAGGACCTACCTCTTCTCCCTTAATTATTTATTTATTCAAATGTGCCCCTCTGTCTTTCTGTCCGGCCAAATAAAAATTTAGTAAAGCTATGGAATAAGAGCAAATACCATTTAAAAAGATAAATTATAAATAATTTTTTTAAGATTTATTTATTTATTTATTGTGTATACAATTTCTGCCCACATACATCCCTGCAGGTCAGAAGAGGGCACCAGATCTCATTACAGATGGTTGTGAGCCACCATGTGGTTGCTGGGAATTGAACTCAGAACCTCTGGAAGAGCAATCGGTGCTCTTAACCTCTGAGCCATCTCTCCAGCCCCAAATTAAAAATAATTTAAAAAATTTTACACTAATATGTAAAATCAAATAAGCTTGTCAAACGAAAACAACAAAAATGTTAATGAGGATCAGAGCTAGGTGTAGTGGTGCACACACGCCTGTAACACAGAACTTGGGAAGTTGAGGCAGGAAGACCTTTAAATCAAACAGCAATTCAAGGCCAGCCTGGTTTACAAAGTAAGATCTCTCAAAACAGAGGGGACAGGAGTCTGAGAGGAGGGGATCCTGGGCCTGGGTGGACTTGAATTTTTTACTTTAAATTTTTTTTGTTGAGAATTTCATATATGACTACTGTATTTACATCATTTCTACCTCTCTCTCTGCTCTTCTAACTCCTCCCAAGCATACTCAAATGTATGACCTCTTCTTCAATTATATAAGTGTGTGTGTGTATGTATGTATGTATGTACGTATGTGTATATGAATACAAACTGCCGAGTCCATTTAGTGTTGCTTGCACGTGTATGTGTTTAAGGCTGACCACTTGGTAGTGGATAATCTATCAAGGAGCTCATGCCTAGAGAAAACTGATCCTCCATTCTCTCAGAAACCATTAATTGCTCACAGCAATTCATTTAAGAGTGTGGCCTTGTGAGAGTCTCCCTATTAACATAGGCACATCAACTGGTGTTGCCATGGTACAGGTATTGTTTAGGTGACCATAACTGATGGTTTATTTTACTTTGAGACATTTTCTCTCCAACCAAAATATTTACTGTTTTTTGAAGAATAATGCAGTATAAGTAAATTACTGGGTTGAGAATGGGTGTCGTCAAATGTTTCTGCCTTAAGAAAGACAACCTCTGTACTTACTTCAATAAAATATTTTACAAAATAAGATGCCTTGGTAACAAAGTTATGTACATTGGAAATAAAAAAGAAACTGTTTATACATAAAAGATAGAAGCATTGACTCTGGGAATGAGCCAGGTTTTCTGGATGGTCCATGAACAAATCACTGAACTTGCCTAGGCAGGATCTTCTACCTCTGAAATGACAATGGTTTTTAACCCACCTCATTGAGAGATGCCAGACATTAATTAATGTTCATAATGGGCTTGAGATCTGTGATTAAATGATTTTATCCTTGATTGAAAACAACTGCTGAGGAATAATAACCAGATGGAGGAGGATGTGTAGTCCTCGGACAGAGGTGCTGAACAGTGAACAGGCAGCAAAAACCGTAGAAGCCTGGGAAAAATTGTCATGTGCCAGTTTGGGTTCAGTTTTCTTCATAGAATTCAGCAACACAACTCAATTTATCAGCAAAGAGATATTCTTCCTTTCACTAAAGTTTTTTATTTTCTCTGTGCCACACGTTTGTAGCATTTTAATGAGGCCTACATACCTCTTCTAGTATTGATTTAATTTATTTGCTTATCTTTAAAATTATTTATTGACTTACTGATTTGGTCACTGTTCTGTTGCTGTGATGAAACTCTACAACCAGAGCAACTTATAAAAGAAAGCATTTATTGGGGGCTTGCTTACACTTTCAGAGGGTCGGTCTGTGGTCATCCCAATGGACAACATGGAAGCCAGCAGGCTGGCAGGTATGGCAGGTAGGTATGGCAATATGGCTATAGAGTAGCAGATCCTCCTCCATAAGGAGGGGGGGGGCTGGGCTTTGTCTGGGCTTTTGAAACCAGAATAATATGTTATTTTTTTTAAACATTTATTTAATATGTATACAGTGCTCTGCCGCCATGTACGCCTGCAGGTCAGAAGAGGGCGCCAGATCTCATTACAGGTGGTTGTGAGCCACCATGTGGTTGCTGGGAATTGAACTCAGGACCTTTAGAAGAGCAGCCAGTGTTCTTAACCTCTGAGTCATCTCTCCAGCCCCGTAATATGTTATTAAATTAAATTTAATCTAACAGCACTAATAACTGCTATAATTTCAGAGGGGCAATGTTTGTAAATGTCATTCTATGATATTTGCAACAACTTAATGTGATTTGGACATATGTTTTCTCTTGGGGGTAAGGTTAAAAGAATTGTTCTTATTACAGTGGTTTGTTGTCAATTTTTAAATTTTTTAACATTAAGTTTTAGTTGGAATTACCTAAAATAAAGATATATCTACCCCCTCCAAGTTTCTGGACTACTTTGTAGTTAGATGTTTGAACAGGCTAAAAAATCCTGTTCTGTCCATGTCCTGGATCATTCAAGTAGCCAAGCAAATATCTCTGTTTGAAGGATGATCAGATAACATGGATGTTTATTTAAAATGTGAACCTTGGGACAGGAAGATGGCTTGGATTGTAAAAGTGCCTTCGACCAAGGTTGACAACCTGAGTTCAATCTCCAGAGAATACATGGCAGAGAAAGAATCCTCTCCTACAAATTATACTCTGACTTCCATTTGCACATAGTGGCATGTGCCTCCCCAATTAGTAAATAAAAATTTAATAGCAATGTTATTTTAAAGTAAATCTTGGAGCTGGAGTTGTACTTTGGTGGCAAAACACACGTTTAGCATATGCTAACCTCTACTTCATCCTTAGTCTAAAATAAAAAGCAAATCTGGCCTGGTGGTGGTGGCGCACACCTTTAATCCCAGCACTCGGGAGGCAGAGGCAGGCGGATCTCTGTGAGTTCAAGGCCAGCCTGGGCTACAGAGTGAGTTCCAGGAAAGGCACAAAGCTACACAAAGAAACCCTGTTTTGAGAAAAAAAAAAAAAAAGCAAATCCCACCTGGTCATGGCATTTCAAAGGCTGAGGTAGGAGGATGACCGTGAGTTCAAGGCCATTAGAGTTACACTGCAAGATCTGGCCAGCCTAGGCTGCAGGACAAAATGGAGTTTGTTTCAAAAATGAGAATTATTTTTTTTTTTAAACTTGAGCAAAGAAAAGCAAGTACAGTCTTTTCTGGACTTGGTAAAACAAAGTTTGAATTGGGAACATCTGTGAATCTGTGTTCATGGCAAGTAGCCAAGTGACCGACACATACATTAACTACAAAACCTGTTGTTACTTCTGTAGTGATTTCCAGTGGAATCAGTTCTAAGGCCAGATTCTCATGTATTAGTTTGAGATGTTGTAATAGTTATGGACAGGACTGAGAATTGCTTTAAGAGTATTCTGGGCTAGGGAGAAGGCTCAGGGACTGAAGGGCAAGCATGGGACCAGGGTACCCACATGTATATTGGGTGGGTCTGGGCTCCCCATGCATTCTAGTGTTGGAAGCTGAACAGAGCAAGCTGACTAGTGAGATGACTGGCTGTGTCAGTGAGCTTTGGGTTTGCTCGAAAGATCTTCCCTCAGTGAGTGAGGTGGAAGTGTATTAGAGAGTGATTCCTTATATCTTATATCAGCCTTGGGTCTTCACATGCATGGGCATCTATATATGTACACCTGCTAAACTATATGCATGTACACACACACACACACACACACACACACACACACACACACACACACACACACACACCAGCAAATAAAAGCAAAAAAAAAAAAGAGTTCTCCTGTGACTTGTTTTGTTTTTTTTGAGACAGGGTTTCTCTGTGTAGCCCTGACTATCCTGGAACTCACGCTGTAGACCAGGCTGGCCTCAATCTCAGAGATCCACCTGCCTCTGCCTCCCGAGTGCTGGGATTAAAGACATGTGCCATCAAGCCTGGCTAACTATTCTTAAAAGTCTTAAAAAAAAAAAAAAGATTTGCC